GGGCACAGTAAAGACGTTTACAGTAAGTCTTTCTACGACAGACCAACGGACCACGAGTGCCCCTGTCGATCAACCAATCACGCACCGCGGTACCCCGCGTCATCTTACGTCATGATACGCGACACCGCAGCCAATTACCTGCGGTACGTGTCTGTACCGCTCACTTTGAATGGCTGCATCTGTAGACTGAAATGGACCTAAATTCATTAATAACCACCAGAACCGCCAAGACGAATATATCAGGTGTGTACAAAAACAATGAAATATTGTCTACATATATAGAGATCATATGTGTTATTTTACCAAGTTTTATACCTTTTATATCCCTACATAATCTACAGGTGAATGATAGATAGTTTTTATCCACTTAAGAAAGTCTCCTCCAAGGCCAAAGTTCTATAAGACATCAAACAGGTAACTCTACTGGACTATATCAGATGCCTTTTCAGCATTTGAAAGAGAAATATCAAGGGCTGGTTAGTAAACTGAATAACATTTAATAGTCTCCTTACATTTATTGCCAAGAAGTGATTTGGTATAAAACCAGTTTGATCAGGATGAATAAGAAGGGTTCTTTTTCCCAGTCATATGGAGAGCAAACTTGCCCCCAATAACAGCAGCCATGTTACCCTGCAATTCCCATCTGGAAAAATCAGATTAGGTGTCAATTTATCTATCTCAGGGTTTATAACAGAATTAAAATCACTCCCTATGAGCATCCATGGAATGGAAAATGAGGAGATATATGACCACAAACCAGGGACTTAAAGGCATTGGGAGCATAATCATATTGTAGTAATATACGCTCGCCAAAAATAATCACATCTTAGTAATATAAGTGCCTACAATAAGAACATATCATCCCTCAATATCTCTTATTATTTCATCAATTTCCCTATGGGATTAATAAAGTATTATCTATCTATCAAGTCAGAAAGGGAAGCCCTTTTGTGCAAGGATAGCAAGTGCCCAGCTCTTATTGATAAAGAAAGGTAAAAAAACTGCCCCTTCCAGCTCCTGTTTAACTTAACATGTTCTAGATCAGTTGGGTGGGTCTCTTGTAAAAGGAGGTCTCTTTTTTTCAGAGATGAGAGGACTGTCTGCTATTAATAACATGATTTAAACCTTTAAAGATAAGAAAGACCGCTTTGATTATTGGCAGATGACTGTGTATACAGATTATGAGAGCAATTAATGCATGGTGGAGGATTTTAGACTACAAAATAAAAAGAAATACTGTAACTTTAGATAAGCTATGCTGTCATCATTACTTATAGAAGACAAACACAGTGGGTAGAATCAAGACACAATAAAAACAGATCCATCTCCAAACAATGGAAACTAATCAAAATTTACCACCTGAGTGGCCTTTGGGACGAATGAGGTGAAGCAAAGGTATTCTGCCAAAAGAAAAAAATAAATCAAACCCCAGAAAAAGTATTGAATCTGACTCGCAACCATGGTTCAGTATTGTTGCAACCCAACCATTTCAGTAATAAAAGCACCGGTTTAACTGGAACATACATACATGCTTAAATGTTAGATCAGAGTGTGAGTGTAAGAGGGGTTTTGAGAAGCTGGGAAAGCCTTATATACAGTATAATGTGAAAATATATGCCTAATAACCAAGTCTACATGTAAACCAGACTGCGATTAACTACATAATTTTTTTATAAAAGATTGTGTTGAGAAGCACAAGTCAGTGCCAGATATGTTTATGGTTTAGAAATAAATCAAGTGGGAGCTCTGCAAAAATGATCCACTCAGGCAAAAAGCATCATGTGACCCTCAAGTTTAATTTACTGTTCTAAATAGAAATTTGGACAAGCAAATTTCTAAAGTGCTATGACAACTATTAGGACTCAATCAAGCATAATAATTTACAGACTCCACATAAGTTCTAAATATACAATATACTGTACAATGTTTAATAAAAGATTTAATAACTTCTGAGTTAAAAATATACTGATCACCACGTCTACCTCCAGGTCTATCACAAGGTCTATATATTGATCACAATATATTGGTACCAGGTCTACCTGGTAGGTATATAGTTAGATGACATTTATATTCTCATACACAAGTAAGTATACATGTACTATTGTGACGGAAACTATCAAACAACATTGGAATAATAGTTCCAATTCCAATAATAGTTCTAATACCAAATAATAGTTCCTGCAGAAAGAGAGGAGAGGAGAGAGCGCTTTTGTCATTTTAGCATTCTAGCATTCCTGAGGATGTCTCTCCACAGACGTTAACTTTTCATGCTGATCCACTTGGGTCTGGCCACAAGTGAGACAGTTGGGGCAAACTCAGTTCATCCCAGCTATACTGTAGCTTTTTACTAAATATGCTTGGATATTCAGAATGTCGACTAAATTTAATTGATCAGGCAAAATAGCAGTGAGATCATGAAGATTTCTTCTGTTGTAGGAATTCTCTTCTTTACTGACTCATTACCTCAGCCAGGCATCTTGGAAAACAATAAAGTACTGTCTTGGTCTGCTTGCAGTCACATAGTTAGAAAAGTCGGAGGACGAGGTTAAATGGAAAGGAAAGAACAGACAGTGAAATAACCAATGAAAATGAGTTGGCTGCTTGCTATTAAGGTAAAACAATCACAGTTGGTGAGTGGTTAGGATATTATCAGATATAGTCCTGGGTTCCACCCAGCAGGTCCCTTATTGGATCCTTCCTCTGAGCGATGATGATGTCCTGGTCTGTGTTCCAGACCAAGAAAATCTTTCTCATCAAATGGCAGCACCTTAACCTCACTCCTCATTGTTATCCATGATGGGAATTCTATCACGTATCATGTATTTTATACCAACTGTTTCCATTATAATGTTTGAAACTCTATTTTAAAAAGGACTGGTTTCTAACTAGTAGTGGTAACTTGTTGATAAAACGTAAATTTGGTCTTTTAAACGAGGTAAAAAGATTAATCTATGAATTGAACAGAAAATAAAAAAAACATGTTCTTTTATTTCTAATTAAATCAAAACATTGGTTAGAGTTTTATCAGGTATTGTACTGGGTTCCACCCTGCAGGTCCCTCACTGGTGGATCTTCCTCTGGGTGATGAACAGGGACCTCTGACCCATTGTCCTGGGCAGAAAGAGACAAGCAGACTAAATGGAGCCTAGTCCCTCAGTGTAGAAGTTGATCAGAAGGATCCAGATGGGAGGAGGCCTTTCAAACCCAGTGAGCTTGTTGGTTTGCCTGTAATTGTTTGATGAGAAGATGAAAGCTTCCAGGAAACTGTTCATCAAGATGGCTGGACAGCTTTTTCCAATTGCCTATTAATAATGTACTTCCTTGTAACTTTCAGTTATACTCTTCTGGTCTTATGTTTCTGCTGAGCATAAATCAGTTCATTGGATTGACTTTGTCCATGCATATTATGTTTGTAACGAATAGTTCTTTCTGGGCCCTATGCGGACGACACAGTCCTGAAGACAGGGGGGCGTGTCCAAGGTGTGCTGGTGCACGGGGGAGGTGTGGCCGAGGCGAATAATCCTAGAGAGTAGTCCTTAGGGAATATCCAAAACGCAAGAGTAAGTCCAAAACCAGGAGATCCATCAGAACAAAGAATTAAAAACCACGAAGGCCGGGTCGGAACCGGCGGACAGGGAACAGGAACAGGAACAGAGTTTAAAACCTTAACGGGACCAGGCGCTTCCAGGTCCCGGACTCGCACGATACGGAGCCCGGATGAGCGTCAGCGCCTGGCTTTTAAGGTGGGCTGGGAATAGGGAGCAGGTGCATAGAATACTGTCTTGAGTGAAAGTGCTGGAGCACCCTTAAGGAGGGGGAACTAATATCGTGACAATGTTTATATAATAGAAACTTAAACGTTTAATTAGATCTTAATAGGAATCCTAGTAATAACAAATTTACCCTGATGAAACATATGACACAATTCATGATTCTCTTTTAGCATTTATTTATCCTCAAATAATGTAACATTCAATATCCATTTGTGACAAAGTCCAGTATGTGAACCTTCAGATTCAGTAACTGGTGGCATCTCCTTGAACAGCAATGACTGCAGCTAAACATTTCCCATAACCATTGTTCAGTCTCTAACATCAGTTTTAAGGATTCGCCTAATTCCTCCTCACAGAACTCCTTCAGCTCTTTGATAGCTCATTTCAGGTCCTGGGACAACATTATAATGGGTTAGTGTAGATCATTGTAAAATGCAATTTTCTTCTGAATCCTATCTGTTGTAGATCTGCTTTTATTGATTGAATGAATGATATTATTGCTGCAAAACCCAACTTTAGCTGTGCACAGATGAATGACCTGAAATTATCCTCTAGCATGATCAGATACAGTACAATGCAGAATTCAATGGCTGTTTTAATGATGACAAGTCATCCAGGTCCTGAGGCATCAAACCAGCTTCACACTCCCAACATCATACAGTACATGACAGTTAGGATGAGTTTCTTCTGTTCAAAAACACAGCTTGGACAAAGAGCTCTACCTTTGACTTGTCTGTTCTGAGAACACTGTTCCAGTAGCCTTTTGGATTATATATGTGCTCTTTGGCAAACTTCACACAGACAGAAATGTACTTTTTGCAGAGCAGTGTTTTCCTCCTCGCTATCCTCCCATGAACATTCTTTTTCATTTGTTTTCTGATAGTTAAGTCATGAACAGTCACTTTAGCCAAGGTACAGATTCTTGGATGTTACTCCGGGGTTCTTTGTCACTTCTTTGATGATGTTCTGCTTTATTCTTGATTTTGGTAGAATGACCACTCCTGGGTGGAGAGACTGTAGTCTTGAACTTTCTTCATTTGTGGATTTTCTGCTTTACACTGGATTGGTGGAGTCCTGAATCCTTAGAAAAACTTTGAGGTCCTCTGAGATTTCCTTTGATTCACACCTTTATGGTGAAGATCAACCTCACAATGTTTCTTATCTTTTTGTAGGACAAACTTTCCAAACCGAATTCTTTAAACACCTGATTTAATTATTTTATTAACTGGGCTAATGAAACTTGTCAAGATTTCTAAGTCCCTCCTCTTAAGGGCTCTCCGGCTCTTTCTTGTTTGTGTTGATTTTCCTGCACCTGACTCTTATCCAGCCCCCTTCCTAAAAAAGCCAGACGCTTCTACCAATCTGGGCTCAGCTTTGGAAGATGCATGCCTGGAAGCCCACCTACCAGCGAGTCCAGGAGTGGCCCAACGGCATAGGATCGCAACGGTGTCCTTACCATCTGGACCCGTTACCTCTTTTTATCTCCCTGAACCTTCACCAGATCCTGCTTGGCTTTTAACTTTTGTCTTGTCTGTCTTGGATGGATAACCAGGCTCTGGACTTTAGCTCATCCTGGATTACCCTACGGACACCCTCTGGATTGTCGCATGGACCATGCCCCCCCCCCGAGCACCAGCGCACCCCTGTTCTTCTTCCAGCCCTGCTGGAAGTCCTCTTTCCCCATGTTTGTTTCACTCCCTTCCGAATTCTGCCATCTGCATAGGGTCCTGAAAAATAATTCGTGACGAAACTAGGGTTTCACTTACTTTTTCACACCCCCTGTATTTTAATTACTCATTGTTAGTTTAATTCATACATCATTTTGTTTCAAGAGACATGGAGTTTATTATTTTTAATCCTTTTAGATATTTACAAAAAAATATAAAAGCACGTCCTTTAAAAAGACTGCCAGTGAGCATTACCACAGTAATACACATAATACATGTTTGTTTTTTTAATTACTAGTATAATCAAAATGTGTGAAGAGGTAGCTTTCAGTTCCATATTCTGTGAAGCCAACACATAGTTCAGAAATTATATTGAGTAGGAGAAAATACAATTTTTGTGTTTCATGGTTTCCAGCTGTTGCTTTTTCTGTGGTATTAGTCTGTTGAGATAAGAGATGCGATGGGATTCTGTGATCAGGTTTTCAGGCATTATTCATTATTATTCCTTCAACTCAAGTACATGCAGTTCAGTTCAGTTTATTTGTCATATGCACAAGTGCAATGAAATGCTTATTTGCATGTATGCTCCAATACAAAGACATTAAGGAATCACCAAAACATAAACACGGAACAACAGCAACAACAACAAGAACAAGTTGATCATTTTGACATGTCACTTAAGTGTGTTGAGAGGTCCAATCAGGTTCTAGAAATGAAAATAACAGAGCTTATGTCGCTGTAAAGACATTTCACTTGCAGTAAGGCATAGGCAATGACAACTGAGCAAGAAAAAATGCTTGTCTGTATTTGCATCTTCTTTAGAATAGTATGTGATCCCAGCATGATCCCAGTAATAAGAAAAATCCATACTTTCATTTTTAGGAAGCTATTCCAACTCTTCTGCTCCACCTCATCCACCATCATGTAAGTTGATATTCCTCTGAGGAAGGTAAAGAACCCAGCCTTCCCAAAGTGTCACAATGTGTATAGTCTTACATCTAGATTTCTTCATATAGAAAAACAAATGTTAAAGACAAATATTAATGATTAGATAATTAATGGAAATATATAAATGTATATTTCTGAAGTGCAATAGAATGTGCTTTTTGATCTAACCTAATACGAGTAATGGGAAAAATATTAATTTTAATCATAAAAGCATATTTTGTAATTTCAGATTCTACAATAAGTTTAGAAAAGAGCCAGCAATAACATCATTAACGGGTAAGTTTATAAAGTACTGACATCACTGGCAGATGAATGGAAGTCTTAATTTTAGTATTTCGTCATTTTAGAATATCTATTTTGTTCTTTATAAAGCATACTGTATAACCAATACTGTTTAAAAATCCTTAAATCTTAGCACACACTTTTACTGTTGGTGACCCAATACAGATTTTTAAGATTATGTAAGTTAGGATACAAGTGAGTCATTTTGCTTTCATTTATCAGCTTTAGTAACACGGCACAGTAGCTTGCTCCATTCGTTCACAACCCATTGCAACATGTTATCAGGTTTAAATTCTTCTGCATGTACTGTAGCTTCCTTTTGTGTGTTCCTGTTCATTTTTCACTATTGTTTCTGAAGAGAAACATTGCCATTGCTATAGGATTGACATTGCCAGTGTTTTTGAGAATACTGTTTTGAACATTCGAATTAGGTCCCCTTTGCAGTAGCTTTGCATTTCTACAGTGCTCATTGGAAACAGTTATGGTAATGTAATCCTCTAGTAACATACTGTAGCCCTAATATGCTTAAATGCCTTTATGCATAGAATTATTTTCAAAACTCAACACAGTAGTAGTTTATACAGTTCTAGTCATAAAGTGACACAGTGGTTCTATAAATTTCTGAGTATATTGTACGATCTAACAAGCTGTTGATTATTTACTAAAGAACTCAATAAATTGCAGTTGAATAATGAACTCTCTGATGTCTGTGGCAAAATGATTTTTCCAAAAGAACCAATTTCTTAAGCATCCCAGGCCAGGCATGCTTATCTAAACAAAAATTTAAACCAAAACTGCTACTGTTCCAAGCTGAAACCAGGAGGGCAGCAATGGTGGGTTCTGTTGGAAGATGAGCAAGGGGGGAAATAGTGAGGAACAGAGTATCTTTTGAGCCACATACACTGTATTGTACATGATTTTGCAAAGAGTCTGCACTACAAGCATGAGGATTTATCTTCTAATATTTTTGGCTACAATTGCATCACCGTAGTAGAAAAAAAGGTTGTTCGAGTCGGCTTACCAGCGTGGTGACGTCACTGCCCTTCCCTGTGAATAGTAGGGACCGAAGCCGTTGGGCTGAGGGTAGATTTTTTTTTAGGTTAACTGGCTGGGTCCCTGTTGAGTGATGCCGGAGACCCAGGTTCAAGTACCCAGTGGTGGGTGGGTTGACCTGAGGCGGCAGCGGCAAGGACGTGTACGCACGTGAACACGAGAGCATTACAATTACAAACACTTGAGAGCTTTATAGATTTTATAAGACAGGCCTCTGTTTGTAACCTTTACTGTATGTTCTTTCTTTACTGAAGCAGTTCAGTACTGGTATGGTACAGTAAGTCACAGTGTCACTATTTTGAACAGCTGGATTGCACACCTGCTACAATTTTGAAATGGTACAGGAAATCAAGGTTTGTTTATATTCCAGTTTGTCAGCAGGCATAGAGCATATATTCTACATACTGTCATCATATCCCATAAATGTAATGGCCAATGGTCGTTGAAAAAGCAGGCAAAGGTCCAAAGGCAGAACCCATTTGCAGGGGGAAATAAGCAGCTGAGCAGGCAGTGGGGAATGGACCAAGCAGTTTTATGTTATGGCCCAGGAACATGACTGGGTTTGTAGCCAGGCAGTTGACAAAGTAGTACAGAATTGCAGTCAGGAAATGAAAGAGGATTGAAGCCAGGAGACACAGTGACACAGCACAGAAGGTATTGCACTCAGGAAATGTAAATCAACAGAATGGTAAACCAAATAGAACATGGGGATTTCCAAAGCAGGGGGTTAGACTGAAGCATGTCAAAAGCCCAAGAGAAACACAAGCAAGGAATGCAAATCTAGAGACTAGGCAACGGCAAAAGTCTAACAGAGACCAGAGCACTCTCAGAACAGACCTACTGTAAATACCGTAGACTCTTCCTGTACAGACAGGTGAAGACACAGGAACACACTTCCTGTTTGACTATAAAACCATGGCAACCAACTGACATATATTCTTAAAGGCATGGCTGGTTGCTGTAGTAATGCTAACTTGATCCACAGCACTGTAGCAGGATTGAGCATTACAATAACACGTTATTATTTACTGAGAGTAACATTTCAAAGTCAAGAGACCATACAGTAGGACTGGTCTGAGTATGTTGAATGGGGCTGTGTGTATCATGTTGGGAAATATAACCTGGATCCATACATTGACTACCTGATATTAATACATTATGAGGAACTGAATGATTTTACATTACAAATGTAACTTATTTTTTTTTCTTAATTACTGTTTCTGGATAAGCAAAGGAACCTCAGGCCTTCAAGACAGAATTTACTACTGTCACTGTCACTAAAATAGTTTCTGAAAATGGGGATATTTGGGCAGATGTGTGTTGATGTCTCTGTATAATGGTTTTGTTTTGCAGGATTCTGCTCCCGTGAACTGAGAGACTTTTTCATAAAATCTCACAATGAAGAATATGTAATGGGAAGAAGGCAATATCAAGTCAGCGAACAGAATATATTTCTCATGTTCAGAAATGGAGACACCGTTGAAATAAGGCTATCCTGTCACAAAAAATAAACATTGATTTAAAAACTGCCTGCTTTTGTTTAGAATACAACAAGAAAACCAAAAGTGTTTACAAGTACTGTATATGAAATAAAGAAATGTAAACACCTTATGAACAAAATAGTTTTATTTTAAGACTTTAAATACTGCAGAGATAATAATAATGGCAAAGAAAAAAGGAAGCCAGTCAACAGAAAACTAAAATTCCAAATTTAAATTAAAGTATTTTATGCTTTATTGATGCTACTTCTAAATAATATTATTCTAGTGTTTGGTTTGGCCTAATTTATCAGTCTATTAAAAAGTGGCATATACAGTACTGTACAGTATTAGACGTTTTGACAAAATACAGTAAGCCATAGATTTTAGGTCAAGTCCAAACAATTTACACACTATATTTCTATACGTTTTATGGACAAGGGGAGTGAGGCTCCAAGCCATCACACTTCCTGATTAATATTATGTAACAGTAACTGGCCGTTGTTAAAGGGGAATTGCAAACTGCGATTTTACAAGCCAGTTATTAAGGTAAATCACTGTAACAAAAAATATTCATTGACGTTATAGATTTTTTTTTTACAAATTTCAAACTAAGAGTTAACATATAAGTAGAATCTGTTGGGCAAAACTGTCTCAAAATCAAAAGCAATATTTCTATTAGATTAAAAGAGATGTATCACAAACCTGCTTGTTTACAATGTCATAGGGCCACAACACATCAATGGAAGTTTTGTTGCCTTGTTCTGAATCACAAAAGGTGGCACTATACATAACTGAAAATTTTGTCTCTTTTATGACAGAAATTGGAGTGTAAATTTAAGGTTTTACAAGTTATTTTTACTTTTGGCTTGTGGTTTGAAATTCACTCATCATTGCTTATTCTTTCTAACCCTGAAATAGCATTGCAGTTCCTCTTTAAACTAATGAGTTTAATACTAGAATGTTATGTAAAAAATGAATAAGTATGATTATATTTTATACAGAGAACACCTAACTCACACCTGCAGTTACATTAATTATTACAGTATACGATGCTAAAATGTTTTTGGCCTATCAGGCACAACTGTTACACACCACAACTGTTGTGTAATTTAATGTTGTAATAATTAATGTTATATTAATTTAATTTTAGAGTAAAAAGACAACATTATTTCTAATCAAATAGGCAGACCTATTAAAATTTACCCCAGCATCTTTGCTTATCTGAATACAATCTTCAGATGGCGGGAAATGATATAGAAGATGTACATGATGATATAGAAAGAAGAAATAACATGAGCATTGTGTCACGCCTGAAATCCCTCCCTAGAGGGCGCTCCACTATTCCCGTTATTGTTCCTGTGATTGCTAAGGTCCCCAGGTGTACCCTCTTACGTGTATTTTTTTAAGACTAGCTCCTCCAGTCCTCGGGGCTCATCATTAGGGTAAGGATGTCGCGAGGCCCGCATAGCACAAGGATACCCTACATCCGTCTCCTGAGTGCATAGGCCTCATCCCCGACACCTCCCGCTTCCTGAGCCCGGGGTCTGGATGTTCTCGCCCCGTCTCCCTTGGACCTTCATATTTTGTCTGTCTGTGTTTTCCCCCTTCTCTGGGATTTTAACCTTGTTGCGTCCTAGGATGGATTACTCGCTGATGGACTCTCAGACTGTGCCCTAACCTGTCTTTGGACCCGTTTGGATTTGGATGCCATTCTTTGTCTACCCCCCGTTAACTGTTTCACAGACTGTCACTATTATTATGTGCACTATTAAACCCCTGTGTGTTTCCTTTTACCACGCCTCCCGTTTTCTCCAGCTTTAACCGCATTGCATAGGGTCTACTACAAGACCTGACATGGATCTCAGTCCGTGGTCGTAACACATTGTGGCTAGTGAGCACTAATAAAGCCCTTCTGAATTTCTTAAGAGCTTGTTGAACCACAGTGAGGTCATGAGTGAGTAGGGACTGAGCTGGAGCTTCACACTTCCATGCAAAACACCTACAGAGATCAACGAAGACTTTTCTACATTTAAACACAAAAAATAACAACAGAATGAAATGCCTATGATTAAAAAAAACTTTTTGAAAGCAAAATATATCAGGATGAAGTTCAGAGCACAGTAGAAGTGCAAAATTAGCAAGCAGTGTTCCATTGTTAAACTGTAAGAAGGTATAGTACTGGTAATCATCTTTGTAATTTACAATTTAGGGTAATAAATACTTTAGAAAATAAACTTTATGGGTATTGAGTACGTGTTTAATCTTATGGAGGGTTTAAGAAACGAACAACCATACAATATACCATACAAACAGATCTTACACAAAACATTACTAGCATCTGAGATGCACACATGATTTATTCTTTTAAATACTGTACATGTGAACAAATTACTGGAACCAAGGACATCTCTTGCTCAGCATGCTTTCACTGATAAAATGTGAGAAAAGATTTCATTATAAGAGTGAAAAGAAAGGCTACAATTAACACCAGGTCAATCAGGCAACACAGTGTGATTTAAGGATACCTCAATCTCAAACCAAATGTATACTGTATGATAGATTTGTTTCTCCTTAGTTAGATCCACAAAAAGAAGATGTGCTTGAAGGTAGTAATTTATTAATCATCACCAAGAAGATGGAATTAGTGGAAGGAAGGATTAGTGGCACAGCCACATTGGTCATATCAGCAAGCACATATACAGTACATGTACCACCATTTTTATAGTATAGTGTGCTTGTCACTATACTGGGGCACACAGACTGTAGGGTGAGCACCCACTACTGGCCCCAATAACACATCTCCCAACAGCGACCTTAGGTTTCTCAGGTGGTCTCCCATCCAGGTACAGGCCAGGCTTACACCTGCTTAGGTTCAGTTGGTTGTATGTATGTAATTCAATGTGTCTGATAAATCTGCATAGGGGAATCTTCACCCCAAAATACAATTCTGTGTTGGTCATTTTAAACTCATATCACTTTCTCTTGGCAATTTAAATCACAAAATAAATTAAAAGCACTCCATTTTCCATAGTACTGTATTTGAAATCACTTTACATGGCAAAAAGGAATAACTTGGGAAGAGTTAAGAATGAGTTGGGAAGAATTAAGACATTTATTTATTAAGACATCATTTTATCAAACTTTCCTCTTCATACCACTTCCCTAACTAATTACATCTGTTTCTATTTTTTCAGATTGTCAAGGGTGGAATGTGATGAAATACTAGAGACAATTTTCCAAAGGAAACTATGGCATGTTATTAGTTAACAACTGAACGTTTAAGAATTGTTTTATTGTTTTACACATTTCTAGACTGTATCCGATGTTTAGATTTAGTAACATGAAGGGAACAGGTGTGTTGGTTTGTTGCTAAGGCTGACCACAGCTAACTGCCTGACTCTCTGACCTTGTTAACACCTTATAAGGCATCAAACTGTTACTTGACAATCATAAAAATGTTTTATGATTACATGTTTACATGTTTTTGTATGGAATTTTTGCTCATCTTTAAGAATAAAAACCTGTTGTTCAGTTTAAAAAAGCGAGTGAGAGACAAGTTTAACCTGTCAGCTTCATCTGTCCTTCTTTCTTTATTGCAATAAAAAAATGATTTATCAGAACCACGTATGGTTTTCTTTATGGAGTCTAACAATTCTTATATTTGTTGTATACAAACATACAAGTTAATGGGAGACACATGAAATGAGATCATGACAAGAATATACAGTATGAAGAAGTCCCTTGAATTTTAGATCTGACTTGACCATCAACTGATTACTGTGTACAATGAATGTCTTGAAAACAATGCTGTGGTTTATCTTTTTCACAATTGTCAATAGTGATTTAATAAACTAAATTCTTTAACACAACTTTGTATCTGGGGAGTGCTTTATCAAAAGTTCAATTTCAGTGTTGAGCCCAGGGAAGCAGTGAAATACCTGAATGTCAATGCACTATCCCAGAGGCCCTTTGTGAAACACGAGTATGATCCCAGCAATCCAAATGATGTTGTGCCAGAGGCCAGGCTGGGTCCTGGAACATCTGCAGGCTGCAGACCCAGACGTGGGAAAAAAAACAGCACAGGTCTGCATTATCAAGATAACTTTGTTTTTACACCTTAAGGTCTGAAATAGCAAAGCTTAATAAGTATAGGAAGTGAGAGATGACTCAACACACAATATAGTTTATCCATTCATTTATCCATCTTTTAATGACTTAGTGTAAAAGTAAAGTGTATTGTACATATGACCAGTCTATCGTAGGGCAGACAGAGACAAACACAGATACTGTACATGCACTCATACCAGGGCCAATAACCCTAGAAACCAATTGATCTACCAGCATGACTTTGTACTGTGAAAGGAAACTTGAGTACCTAGAGGAAACCCACATACTGCAAACACAGGCAGAGTATACTGTATAAACTCCATGCAGATAGCACCCCAGGAACTGTACCTAGGGCCAAGGTGATGTGTGGTAGCAATGCTAACCACTAAGCCACTGAGTCTCAATACATTTTACTCTCTTAATAGTTATGCAGTTTGATTCTTGTTTCAAGTTTGAGGATATATTTAGGTACAGAGGAGCAGTTGCTATGTGCTTGTTAAGGATTCGGCCAGTAAAACCGAAACCAAGTAATGAACCCACTTGCAGGAGCCGATAGAGACAAGTCGTGATCCAAATACCGTAGTCGAAGGAGAGAGCCGAGAGTCCAGGGGAAGCCAGTGATCCAAACAGGAAGAGGGTAGCCAAAGCCAGACCGTAATCCAAAACCATAGACGAAGGAGAGAGCGGATAGTCCAGGGGAAGCCAGAGATCTTTCGTTGCTGGGAGGCAGAGATCGTAACAGTGCTGTTCAAGTATCTACTGTACTTTGTATGTATTTTTCTTCAGAACCTTTTTGGCTGCTGGTGTTTGTAAGAACATAAACTGGTCCTGCCTGGGACAAGTGGAGATTTTTAGTAAACAACCACACTCATTGCGGTGGCACAAATGGTGGTGGGTTGCACCAGCTGATCTTTTATGTCCCTGAGAGACCTTCACAAGATTGTGGTGTCCCTTGTCC